ATAATCTTATACTTTATGGAGTAGGCTAAACATTTTAACATGAAGATGTTTTTTCTTGAGAGAAGTATAAAAGGATTATGTTATAAGTCTTGTTTATGGTAAGACTGAAATAGGGTTTATTGCAGTCAATGAAGTCTTTATGATTGAGGAAGATATTAAGTTAATTAACAATAAAACAGTAATAACTATTTCACATAATCTTATATTTTGTGGAGTAGACTAAACATTTTAACATGAAGATGTTTTTCTTTAGAGAAAGTATAAAAGGATTATATTGCAAGTTGTTTATTGTAAGACTGAAACAGAGTTTGTTGTTGTCAATCAAGCCTTTATGACTAGGGAAGGTATTAAGTTAACAATCAAATTGTAATAACCATTTCACATAATCGTATAATTTATGGAGTAGACTAAACATTTTAACATGAATATGTTTTTCTAGAGAGAAATATAAAAAGATTATGTTGTAAGTTTAGTTTATTGTAAGACTGAAACATAGTTTATTGTTATCAATCAAGTCTTATGACTTTCGAAGATATTAAGTTAATATCAAAATGTAATAATTATTTCACCTAATCTTATATTTTATGGAAAAGACTAAACATTTTAACATGAAAATGTTTGTCTTGAAAGAAGTATAAAACGATTACGTTGTAAGTTTTGTTTATTGTAAGACTAAAACAGAATTTATTCTGGCCAATCAAGCCTTCATGACTTAGTAAAATATTAAGTTAACAATCAAATTGTAATAACTATTTCACATAACCTTATATTTTATGGAATAGACTAAACATTTTAACATGAAAATATTTTTCTTAAAATATAAAAGGATCATGTTGTAATTCTTGTTTATTATAAGATTGAGACAGAATTTATTATTATCAATCAAATCTTATGACTTAATAAGATATTAAGTCCACAATCAAAATGTAATAAATATTTTGTATAATCTTATATTTTATAGAAAAAAAATTAAACATTTCAACATGAAATTTTTTTTGAAATGTTTAATTTTAAATAAATATAAAAAAATTATGTTATAAGTCTTGTTTATTATAAACTGGAATAGAATTTATTATAGTCAATCAAACTTTATAATTTACGAAAATATTAAATTGATGACTGAACTGTAATAACTATTTCATGAAGAAAAAAACTAAATATTTCAAAATGAAAATGTTTTTATATGAAGTACAGAGATAATGTTATAAATCTTGTTTATTGTAAGACTGAAAAACAAATTGTTCATGTATCATTATCCAAAGAAATTTATTATAATACCTACCATTTAAATTATATTCTTTATATAACTATTGTTGGCTTAATAACCAATACAGGGCATAAAGTTTTGTGCATAAAAGAGACACAAATTACAGAATTTCAATCAGTCAACTAAATTACTCAATAATTAATTATGAATTATTTATAAAATTAATAAATATTTTACCACTATATTATAGTGTTAAAAATATTATATAGAGAGAGAGGGAGAGAGAGAGATGTATATTGTGAATGAAATGCTGCATACTGATTTTTTTACTCCAAAACTTTTCAAAATTCCTAAACAAAAGTTGAAAGGAAGAAAGGTATAATTTATATAATATATAAATTAACATAATTTGCTGTGTCTCACAGTCAGATTATAAATTCTTATATAGCATCTAGCAATTATTATCATAACACGAACAATATATTATTAAGCACAGTATGCATAAAAGAGAGAAAGGAAAAACGGTAAAGAAAAAAAAGGCACTGCAATGTAAAATGGAGTTAAAGAGAGTATAAAATTGAATAGTAAATATGAAAAAGATGATATTAGGTTGTTATTACAGCAATTGAAGGGTAAAATAGTCGAAACAAATGAACAACAGAAATTGTGTCCCTGGAATGTGTAATTGAAATAATTTTCTTAAATCACTGAGTTCCATGCTAACTGTCAATTCGAAATTCAAAATCAGAACCTTTTGTCTGCTGCCAATGCTCATTTTCAACCAAAGCGTCAAACTTTTTGAAAAACTTCAGTGCTTTGGTTGAGAATGCAGAAACAACGGATTTACTGTGCGTCTTAACTCAGTCTGATTTCGCCTTCATAAGTCCCACACTGCCCAGAAAATTAAACATCGAAATAATTATATACCATATGATTATAAATCAACCAGTTCAAGTTGAGATGTGAGGGCGCGTGAAGCTGTTGGAACGGATTTAGGGCTTGCTGCGGCTGGGGCTGTGATTGCTAGAAGTTGGTTTTCCCTCTCCAAGGTCGGAGCACCAGTCGAAGGGCTTCGGGCTGCTCAACCAACAGCCCACAAATTAGCCTGGTGAGTCCAATTGCTTGAACCATCTTTTGGTAACTTGTTATTGAACTCTTCATTTTAGGTACTTTTTACATCATTTTATATTATTAATTATTAGTAGAATTTTATTTAATTCTTATATTTAAAAGCTAAACTATATTTTAACGAATAATATTCATATCAAAAGGTTATATGTATATATATACATTGATAAGTTGTGAAGAATCATCCATGTAGAATATTCATTGAACTGTAAAACATTACCCTACTATATGTATTGTGTTCCCCAATACCAACAAAAAATAATCCCGTCGTCAAAGATAAAAGTATATCACTGATAATGTGACTTTTTATTTTTAACTTAAATTGACATACCTCAAATTAACTATTTTATACCAATGCTGATAAAAATATATATATTTTATACCAATATTCATATTAGTCTATGACAAACTACCCTCTCTTTTTTTTGTTCACATTTTAATTGTCGTTTACAACTGCCCATTTCATATATGATTTTTATGTTTGGTTAATATAAATTGATTTAATCCTTATATTTATAGAGTAAGTTACATCTTAATGATAATATTTAGAATTTATGTTAATTAGCATTTTTTTTTTAGTTTTTTTTTATTTAAGGCAAATTAGTTAACTTTTGTATTAGTTAGCTATAAATACTTATAATTTTTATATACTTAAGAAAATATTTGTATTCCAAATTTTAAGCAAAATTAAAAATAATTAAAGAATAGAGCAAATCGGAGACATCCATGTGTGATTTGGAACTTTAACAAATAAGGTTTTGAAGCTTTACCTGAAGTCCAAATCAGTTAAAAAGAGTGACAGATCTAAGAGTGGAGCTCTGTTTTGGGTTCAACCAATTTGAATACGCTCAACAAATTTGAGGTTGAGAAATCTAACTTTAAGAAACTTTTAGAAAAAAAGTGGGAGAAATTTGTTAAATAGAAAACAACTTACAAGATAGAGATCAAACTTCACTAAAGCCAGAAGCAAAATTGAATAGAGAAATCTTGATAAATTTGATAAGTTTAAGAGTTTCTGAAATCACAACTCTCACCATTATTGTGTCTCGATAAATCATAACTTATAGAATCTTATTGATTGGCAATTTATCACTGAAATCTCTAGGAATAAAATTTTATTTGCCATATTGTTTTTACATTTAAAAGAAAGTTTTTTATCTGACTGCTGGGATTTATTTTTTCTTACTCAAACTCTTGTGGAAGGCTAATAAGTAATCTATTTGCGAAAGAATTAATAGGTTTATAAAAATTACGAATAAATATATGTATATGGATTGAAAGTGAAACTGTTACAAGTTTGATTCCAACAATGTCTTTGATATTGATTTTTTTCTTCGTTAGCATCTTTTTTAAAATCAATTATTTCTATTATTTATAAGTCAATCATTTGAATATCCTCATTATGTTTAACTCTATTTTCATCTACTAAACTATAAATGATGGCAAAATAATTATTGTATCATGCAAGTATTTGAGAATAAGATTTTTATAATATGAAAAGATGAAATTTACTTAAGAAAACACTTCTTTTATATTTATTAAAACTATGGTATATCTTAAAAATAAGATAGATGGTTATTCTGGTTGCATATTTGACTATACTATCGAAGAATGAACTAAACTAAGAGGAAAAATATCATTTCAACCATGGTCTTGACATTAACCTCTCCTTTTTTTTTAAGATTACTGATAGTATAATTTTTATGTGTCATTTTTAAAAGACATTTAAAAAAACAAATTTAACATAGTACAATACGACAAAAAATCTTTAAATTTCAGTATACCGCGATGATAAAATATTAATAATTAACAAAGTAAGAAAATGTAATTAATTGTATTTTTTTTTCTAGGACTAAAAGAGTTTGTAACATATTACCTTCCAAAAGTGGAGCATGTTTTCCTGCAGAAACTGGAAATTAAAACGTCTCACTTTCCCTGTCCATTTCTGTGAAGGGATTAATCTAAACAGAGAGGGATAAGACCATTTTTTTTAATCTCTAGTTCAATAGTGTTTTAGGCAAGCTGTTTATTGGTTTGGTATTATAAGATTACAAATAATTTAAAGTACAAGACTCTATGAATCACCTTCTTTAAGTTATTATAGTTAAAAACTGAGTCAATAACTTAGTTCTCAAGGTTGTGTCAAGAGATAAAATTCTTTCATAATTTTCAAACTTTACAGGACAGGACACTTAGCATCTTAAAATTTTAGTGAAATCTTTAATGACATCAGATTGATTAGCTAAAAGGCTTCAAATCATATATGTGAAATTTAAAATAAAGTTTTCTAATAAACTAATTAAACATAGAGAGTAAATATGAACTGTCATAACACATGATTTATGCAGATAAACATAATCTGGCATAAGACATCTTATTATTTATGCAGATATAAGAAAGGGCATACATACTTTATGACACATAAGTCACAAGCTGCTCTCACATAATCTCATAAAACTCATAAGCTGCTTAGGAATTTCTCACTTTGCACAGAACGAACACCATCCATTAATATAATACTTATTGACATACAAGTCACAAACACAAACTGCTTACATATATCTCAGGCTGCAGAAAAGCAACATGATCTCCTGCTTACAGTTTACATATATCTCACTCGCTGAGCAAAACCAACGAGACCTATTGATATAGTACTTATTCAACACACAGATGGATACACTGCACAAAACTGCCCAAAACCTAAACAAAACAGAAGCTGAACAAAGGCCAGCGCCCCGGATAGGGCACAAAACCTAAACAACTTATTAATACCAGGTCGATAGGGCACAAAACCTAAACAACTTATTAATACCAGGACGATAGGGCACAAAACAACTTGATAAAACCTAACTTATTGATATTGAAAACATAGGACACAAAATAGGACATAACGAAACACATTATTTGAGATCAAACCATATTTGGTACTAGGGCACAAGGGGACACCACATAGGGATTATAGAGGACGAAAGGGCAAGGTCACCATCCCTAACACTTTAAGTAATATTCACATACATATATGTAGTAACTTAAAAGACACATACACAATATATATAATAGTAGTAGTAGTAGTAGTAGTAGTATATATATATATATATATATATTATATCTTGCTACCAAACCAGTGGTAACATATATTTCTTTACCCCTCTATACACTGTATATATATAGAAAAGACCAGATCGCAGCTACTATAAGGTATAGTAGCTACTTGTCCTTGCCCTTATGAGATGTGACTCAAAGGGATGGTATTACATGCACCATGGAGTTTGAGGGTCCCACATATCCACATCGGCCGCCAAATTGTTGTTCTCCGGTGTGTAAATCGCATTCTCTGCTGCAATTAGAGGAAGATCTAGAGACATAGCAGCTTCGGCCCAGATAGAATCATCAAAAACAGGTAAAGTCTCGGTCATTGTCTCCCAAGATGGAGAAAACTCTCCCTCAATCCCCTCAGGCTTTGTGTAGGTTGCAATTGGCTTAGGATTGGTGTCCAAGGGAAGAGACACGATGCAATCACTGGTGTAAATTGGAGTGACTCCAACTTCGTGAGAAGCCATGGAAACTGCAGGATTGAAATTGAAATTAGAACAAGTTGGAATGTCTAGGTTGTTTTGCATCAGAGGCTGTTGCAGATTCTCCATATCAGGAGTTGGAGTGTTGATAACAGGAGGTGGTGGTGGTGGTGGAAAGTGAGACGCTGGGGGCACAGGATGGTCTGGTAAATTGAGTTTGGCATCAGGGCCGTAAAGCTTACGTGCTGCAGCATCATAAGCCAAAGCAGCGTCCTGAGAGGTTTCAAATGTCCCTAGCCAGAGTCTAGCACCACGATTGGGTTCACGGATTTCAGCAACCCATTTCCCCCAGGTTCTCTGTCTCACACCTTTGAAGGTGCAACTGGCATTCTCGGGACCTCCTTTACCTCTCATACACCCTTTTCTGGAGCTGGCCTGTGCTGTTTTCTTCAGTTTTTTCTCCTCAATTTTCATGCCTGATTTCAGCATTGTGGACATGCTAGGCTTTGTAGGATTGAGACGATGAGGGAGACACAAAAGTAGAGATAAGCTCAAGGACTTGAAGATGGAGTGAGGCTGATGAGCCTATTTATACTAACAAGGGAGTAAATACTGTGTAAAAGAGATTACAAGTTCATGAAACGTGGCCCCAAAGTGGGCCCAAGACGAAACTTGGCAATGTGAGCTACACAGACCGTGTCCACGACGAGCCTCAATGTTGATTTCTCTTATTCACACTTGGCCTTCCCTTTTACTGGCATACTGCAATCTCAAGATCATGTGGCAAACACCACCAAATAAATTAAGATTATTACTTAATTTACACTTTCTTTTAGTATTTTTTTTATCTGTGAAGGAATTTTTCTGATGGATAAGATGGACGGAGAATAAAAGAACAATAAAGAAATAGAGCAAAGGTAAAAGAAAATTAAAGTTGTGGGTGAGAGGATGCGGTTGCATGGATAATGGGATTTATGGACTGTATATAGATAATTCGGATTCGGATAAGTCATTTACCATTGTGTGGGATCGGTGTCATATTGAAACGAAACGGTTGAAGATAAGTGCTTGCGGGGGTTCCAAAACTGCGCACATGAAAATTAGCAACGATGCATTCAGACGTGTAACCAAAACAATCCCAGGTGTTCGTCTTTCATGCTATGGAAAGGGCTTGGAAATCAGTGAACAGTGAAAGAGATCCAATGGACTGTGACACCACACATAGCAAACGAGACACGGATTAGAGTTTACAGAAATTGGTCGACATTTCACATCCTTAATTATAATTTTACATCTTCATACTCCTACACTACCTAGTGCATTTTCCTTTTTTGTCGTTTGGTGACACTCCATCATAACTGTAAATATAGCAAATGTAGTATAGAACAACGCGATTACTTGTTGGTTGTCATCACAAAAGAGGACCGTTATATTATGGAATATATTTTTNTTAACTCTATTTTCATCTACTAAACTATAAATGATGGCAAAATAATTATTGTATCGTGCAAGTATTTGAGAATAAGATTTTTATAATATGAAAAGATGAAATTTACTTAAGAAAACACTTCTTTTATATTTATTAAAACTATGGTATATCTTAAAAATAAGATAGATGGTTATTCTGGTTGCATATTTGACTATACTATCGAAGAATGAACTAAACTAAGAGGAAAAATATCATTTCAACCATGGTCTTGACATTAACCTCTCCTTTTTTTTTAAGATTACTGATAGTATAATTTTTATGTGTCATTTTTAAAAGACATTTAAAAAAACAAATTTAACATAGTACAATACGACAAAAAATCTTTAAATTTCAGTATACCGCGATGATAAAATATTAATAATTAACAAAGTAAGAAAATGTAATTAATTGTATTTTTTTTTCTAGGACTAAAAGAGTTTGTAACATATTACCTTCCAAAAGTGGAGCATGTTTTCCTGCAGAAACTGGAAATTAAAACGTCTCACTTTCCCTGTCCATTTCTGTGAAGGGATTAATCTAAACAGAGAGGGATAAGACCATTTTTTTTAATCTCTAGTTCAATAGTGTTTTAGGCAAGCTGTTTATTGGTTTGGTATTATAAGATTACAAATAATTTAAAGTACAAGACTCTATGAATCACCTTCTTTAAGTTATTATAGTTAAAAACTGAGTCAATAACTTAGTTCTCAAGGTTGTGTCAAGAGATAAAATTCTTTCATAATTTTCAAACTTTACAGGACAGGACACTTAGCATCTTAAAATTTTAGTGAAATCTTTAATGACATCAGATTGATTAGCTAAAAGGCTTCAAATCATATATGTGAAATTTAAAATAAAGTTTTCTAATAAACTAATTAAACATAGAGAGTAAATATGAACTGTCATAACACATGATTTATGCAGATAAACATAATCTGGCATAAGACATCTTATTATTTATGCAGATATAAGAAAGGGCATACATACTTTATGACACATAAGTCACAAGCTGCTCTCACATAATCTCATAAAACTCATAAGCTGCTTAGGAATTTCTCACTTTGCACAGAACGAACACCATCCATTAATATAATACTTATTGACATACAAGTCACAAACACAAACTGCTTACATATATCTCAGGCTGCAGAAAAGCAACATGATCTCCTGCTTACAGTTTACATATATCTCACTCGCTGAGCAAAACCAACGAGACCTATTGATATAGTACTTATTCAACACACAGATGGATACACTGCACAAAACTGCCCAAAACCTAAACAAAACAGAAGCTGAACAAAGGCCAGCGCCCCGGATAGGGCACAAAACCTAAACAACTTATTAATACCAGGTCGATAGGGCACAAAACCTAAACAACTTATTAATACCAGGACGATAGGGCACAAAACAACTTGATAAAACCTAACTTATTGATATTGAAAACATAGGACACAAAATAGGACATAACGAAACACATTATTTGAGATCAAACCATATTTGGTACTAGGGCACAAGGGGACACCACATAGGGATTATAGAGGACGAAAGGGCAAGGTCACCATCCCTAACACTTTAAGTAATATTCACATACATATATGTAGTAACTTAAAAGACACATACACAATATATATAATAGTAGTAGTAGTAGTAGTAGTAGTATATATATATATATATATATATTATATCTTGCTACCAAACCAGTGGTAACATATATTTCTTTACCCCTCTATACACTGTATATATATAGAAAAGACCAGATCGCAGCTACTATAAGGTATAGTAGCTACTTGTCCTTGCCCTTATGAGATGTGACTCAAAGGGATGGTATTACATGCACCATGGAGTTTGAGGGTCCCACATATCCACATCGGCCGCCAAATTGTTGTTCTCCGGTGTGTAAATCGCATTCTCTGCTGCAATTAGAGGAAGATCTAGAGACATAGCAGCTTCGGCCCAGATAGAATCATCAAAAACAGGTAAAGTCTCGGTCATTGTCTCCCAAGATGGAGAAAACTCTCCCTCAATCCCCTCAGGCTTTGTGTAGGTTGCAATTGGCTTAGGATTGGTGTCCAAGGGAAGAGACACGATGCAATCACTGGTGTAAATTGGAGTGACTCCAACTTCGTGAGAAGCCATGGAAACTGCAGGATTGAAATTGAAATTAGAACAAGTTGGAATGTCTAGGTTGTTTTGCATCAGAGGCTGTTGCAGATTCTCCATATCAGGAGTTGGAGTGTTGATAACAGGAGGTGGTGGTGGTGGTGGAAAGTGAGACGCTGGGGGCACAGGATGGTCTGGTAAATTGAGTTTGGCATCAGGGCCGTAAAGCTTACGTGCTGCAGCATCATAAGCCAAAGCAGCGTCCTGAGAGGTTTCAAATGTCCCTAGCCAGAGTCTAGCACCACGATTGGGTTCACGGATTTCAGCAACCCATTTCCCCCAGGTTCTCTGTCTCACACCTTTGAAGGTGCAACTGGCATTCTCGGGACCTCCTTTACCTCTCATACACCCTTTTCTGGAGCTGGCCTGTGCTGTTTTCTTCAGTTTTTTCTCCTCAATTTTCATGCCTGATTTCAGCATTGTGGACATGCTAGGCTTTGTAGGATTGAGACGATGAGGGAGACACAAAAGTAGAGATAAGCTCAAGGACTTGAAGATGGAGTGAGGCTGATGAGCCTATTTATACTAACAAGGGAGTAAATACTGTGTAAAAGAGATTACAAGTTCATGAAACGTGGCCCCAAAGTGGGCCCAAGACGAAACTTGGCAATGTGAGCTACACAGACCGTGTCCACGACGAGCCTCAATGTTGATTTCTCTTATTCACACTTGGCCTTCCCTTTTACTGGCATACTGCAATCTCAAGATCATGTGGCAAACACCACCAAATAAATTAAGATTATTACTTAATTTACACTTTCTTTTAGTATTTTTTTTATCTGTGAAGGAATTTTTCTGATGGATAAGATGGACGGAGAATAAAAGAACAATAAAGAAATAGAGCAAAGGTAAAAGAAAATTAAAGTTGTGGGTGAGAGGATGCGGTTGCATGGATAATGGGATTTATGGACTGTATATAGATAATTCGGATTCGGATAAGTCATTTACCATTGTGTGGGATCGGTGTCATATTGAAACGAAACGGTTGAAGATAAGTGCTTGCGGGGGTTCCAAAACTGCGCACATGAAAATTAGCAACGATGCATTCAGACGTGTAACCAAAACAATCCCAGGTGTTCGTCTTTCATGCTATGGAAAGGGCTTGGAAATCAGTGAACAGTGAAAGAGATCCAATGGACTGTGACACCACACATAGCAAACGAGACACGGATTAGAGTTTACAGAAATTGGTCGACATTTCACATCCTTAATTATAATTTTACATCTTCATACTCCTACACTACCTAGTGCATTTTCCTTTTTTGTCGTTTGGTGACACTCCATCATAACTGTAAATATAGCAAATGTAGTATAGAACAACGCGATTACTTGTTGGTTGTCATCACAAAAGAGGACCGTTATATTATGGAATATATTTTTCCCCACAGCATTAACAGCAAACTTAGCGGTGGATCGAAGGGACTAGATAAGGAGTAACACAAACCAAGAGATAAGCAGTCTTTAATGTTTACTTCTTCATCAATTGCGGGTTTCGAGACTCACATATGCACCTCATTATTTTTTTCACACTTCACTGTTCCTCAGTTTAAATTCAATCACCAACTTATTACCGTAAAAGAAATTCAACAAGCAGGCCTAGGTGGTTGAGACTAGCAATTCAATGTTTTCCCCCATTACTTTTCTTAATCACCTCAGTTCTATATAGCAGTAATTGTCATACAAGTGTTTTACATCTCTTAAGTTCCAATTTTCTCTAGCATAAAGAACTTTGGTTCTGAAATATGTTATAGTTCTTGGTGTTAAGTTTTTACAACAAGGTCAGAAGAAAAACAGATAAACTATTCCAAAGTGTCTACAATGTTCAAAACTTTTAGAACAAAACAAAGTCAGAGGTCTGTTCATTGTTACAGGTTCTCTAGATCAAAGTCATCAACATTTTAACTATTCCCCCTGGTTGACCAAGATGTAACAATCTAGAAGGATATTC